ATAGTCACCACCCTCCATCTGGTGGCGGTCTTCATTTCTGCAGAACCGCTCAAAGATAGGCATCAGACTGTACGCGCATCCCTCCAGGGGGAGCTAGGAGTCAGCTGACTCTGCTGCTCTAATCATTAACTCTGGAAGTCAGGAGAGGTCAAGAGGGGGCTGGAAGGGAGTTGGGCCTGGAAGGGCCCCCAGGGTCCTGCTCAGCTTCAACCCCCCTTTACCTCTGATGCTCATCAGTCCTGAGGGGAATAGGGGCAGGAGAACAAGGGAATAACGTTTTGAAGGAGAGGTTAACTATAAACTCATTAGGAGAACTCGCTTCCAGGAAGACTCGGCTTCAATACGATTCTCAATCTGCTACTGATTTCTGCCGGGGTGTTCACTTGCTAAACTGTGTCCGACTCTTTGCAACCCCATGGATTATAGCACGTCAGGCTTCCCTGTCCTTCACTATCTCCGAGTTTATTCAAACTCACATCCCCTGAGTCAGTGATACCATACAATTATCCCATCTTCAGCTGCCCCCTTTTCCTCCTGCCCTCAATCTTTCCCAGAATTAGGGTCTTTTCCAACAAATTGGCCTTTTGCATCAGGTGGCCAAATACCAGAGCTTCAGCTCCAGCATCAGTCCTTCCAGTGAATATTCGGGGCTGATTTCCATTGGCATTCCCCTTAGGATTTTTCCTCCAAGATTGAAAGCTGTTTAGTGATAGACCAAAGAATAGAACCTAGGCTTCCTGATTCTTCCTAATTCAGGGAAGCTTTTATCCCAAATGAGCTAGCTTCCTGACACTTTCTTACTAAGATTTTATCACATGCATTTTCCTACTTTGCTTTGGGTCCATGGGCTCATGGCTATAGGAACATAAATGTAGTAACTGTGTTAGGAGTTACAAAAACACGGTGAACCTCCCCCATTCTACTTGCTCCTCACCCCTGGCAGGCATTGTTAATGGGTCAGAGCGTGGTCTTCCCTGAGTTCAGGCTTAGTTCACATCCTTCCCAACACATTGCTCCAGGCAGTCATTACAGAGAGTTGGTTCTGAGCATGAGCCTCCTTGCTCTCCCTGGATGGAACAGTGATGGCAAACTTGATTCTACTTTTCCTTCCCTTAGTATTTGGCCTTGGTCCTATGATTGTGGCTCCAATACTGCACTACTATTTTCTTCTTTAAAATTTATTTTTTAAATTATGAAAGTATGATAACACATTTACAGGAGACTTGGAAAATACAGAACAAAGTTACATATAGTTCCACTGTATATTACATTTGTTTTTTTAAGTATATAAATTAAGATTGTTAGTTGGAGTTTTAATTTCAAACTCTCAAAAATTAATAGAATGAATAGACAGAGGAGTAGAAGGATATAGGAGACCCTAAAAGCACTGTGAACCAATTCAACATAATTAATATTTATACAATTTTCACACAACAGCAAGGTACAAATTCTATTCAAGTTCCCATAGACTATAAACCTGGAACATATTCAGGGACATAAAACTAGGTATAAACATTTCACGGTCTAAAGGTATTGAAATCATACAGAGTCTGTTCTCTTATCACTGTGGAATTATGTTAGAAATCAGTATCAAAAGATATTTGAAAATAACCCACATATTTTCAAGTGCAGCATTGCACTGCTTTCTCCTTCTGCTTGAGAGAAACTATTCTGAAAACGGTTACTCAGCTTGGAAGCTACTTTTCTTCCCAAATAGGTTCCCAAAACACTAGACCTGGGGGACTCACACTGAACCTATTTATTTTGCATGCTTAGAACTCCCTACATGATTGGCTGAAGCTTACACAGCTGTGTTCATGAGGGAACAGCAACTAATCCCAGGCTAGCTGACTCTGTGTGCAGTGCTCTTTTCACCACTCTGCCCATCTGACTCTGGGCTTTATCAGACAGAACAGCAAAAATGTTCCTAGGACCTGACACGTGTAAACACGCCTCCACCACCCCGGCCATGGCAGCTTGCCAAGACAGGAATGAAGCCAAATTTAGTGGGTCCTTCAGCCCGATGACCCCGGTGGAAACAATCTCCTGATATAGAACAGGCAGAGCCAGAGAAAAATGTGCTGTCCTACAAAGAACAAAGCCTGGAATGATTCATCCTCCTCATCCTGGTGATTTATCCCTGGACACGGTCATTCATACGTGGCTGTCAGCAACTTTGCAGGAATTCTAATCTGGATGTTCGTCCTGAACACATAATTCCCTCCTTACTTCCTCCGGGTTCCCAAACATTCAGAAGTTTCCTGGGCATGCTTTCCTGCCTGTCCTCTTGGTGTATAGCCAAATAGTCTGGGGGCCTTGGGTAACTCTTTTAGCTTCTCTAGACCTCAGCTTTCTCATCCTTAAAAATCAGGAACCGAAAGAGCTGGTCTCAAAGATCCCTCCTGGACCTAAAATCCTATGACAAGACACATTTAGGAAACCCTTTTAAATAAACAACGTATTTGGATTTCCCGTATCTTACAGCTTGACTGTTTACCTATGCACCAATGGGACCCTGCAGGGAGGATGGGGCAGGGCCTCATGGGAGGTGTGGCCTCTGGGAAGGGACCCACCGCCTTCCCAATCCACTGTGGTCCTCTCTCCCACTTTGCCACAGAGACTGCTCCTGCTCAGGTCACTCATGATTTATTCACTGCCGCATTCACATACTTTATAAAGTAAAAGAAAATTATACAAACACTATGAATGTATTCTTTCAAAAAGTCAACAAGGCATTGTATGTATATATACGAAGTCACGTATATATGTAAACATTTACAAATATGCCATTTTTTTTTCAAGGGGGACTTATTCTGGGTGTTTTAACTTAGTTTTATTTTTACAGAAGTGGGATCAAATGGAACATACACCTTTGTAATATGCTTTTTGACTTTAATATGTCTTGGAGCTCTTAACCATGTCAACCTGTGTAGTCTTTCTTTTTATAACTGCTGCAGAGGGTCCCTAATCATGTTTTAACTACTTCTTTTTGCTAAGGACAAGAGTCTGGTGGCTCAGTCAGTAAAGAGTCTGCCTGCAATGCGGAAGACCCAGATTCAATCCCAGGGTTGGGAAGATTCCATGGAGAAGGCAATGGCAACCCACTCCAGTGCTCTTGCCTGGAAAATCCAATGGACAGAGGAGCCTGGGGGGCTATATCCACAGGGTGACAAAGAGTTGGACACGACTGAGAAATGAGTAAGTTTCACTTTCTCCATTGATGATATTTGGTTTGCTTCTAGGATTCTGCTGTCTCAAAAAAAAATTAAAATAAACTAATATTATTGTCTACACATTTGACCATTTCTCTAAGATAGGCAGAAGAAAAACTGTTGAGTTTATAGAAATGCACATTTTAAAATTTGAAGAATTCAGCCAACTGATTCTTCAATATGGTAGTGCCAATGGGCATATCCATTCCCCCATATTTTTATTGATCTTTCATTGCCTTTTGTTTATTACATTTATTTATTACATGAGCACATTTACAAGTTTTTGGCCATGTATATTTCTTTCATGAATTGACTATTTGTACCTGTTGCTTATTTTTCAGTTAGGTTGCTTTTCTGTATTATCAGCTTATAGAAGTGTTAAAAGTTTTTTCAAAAAATGAACTCAAGCATTCATTACCAAGTTTCAACTCCTGGTCAATATATTTTCTTGTCCCCATGCTATTATTTTGAAGCAAATCCCCAACATCATACCATTTCATTTGTTAACATTTTAGCTAGTAAATCTAAAAAGAAAAATCAAAGCTCTTAAAAACTCCATCATATATAATAAGAAAAATAATTCCCTAATGGCATCAATTATTCAGGGTTTATTGTTCCTCCATTAGCTCTTTTATTTTAAAAAAAATAATTACCTCAATGTCATCAAATATCCAGTAAGTATTTAAATTTCCTCAATTGTCTCATAAATCTTTTTTTAACAATCTCTTTGAATCCAGATCCAAAGAATGTCTATGAATTTTAATTGGTTAATATGCCTTTTAAGTCTCTTATAATTAATAGGCTGTTTCTCTCATTTGTTGAAGAATTCTGGCTATTTTTTCCTATGAAGTCTCCCACAGCCTGGATTTTGCTAACTGCCTCTGATGATACTATTTAACACATTCCTGTGTCCTGTATAGTCCTTGAATGCTTGCAGTTAGATCTAAGGCTTGATCAGGTTGCTGTTTTGACAAGAATGCTTAATAGATGTGTTACATATTTCCAACAAGACCACAGAATTCTGGCTGTCTCTTTGTGAGGTAAGCAGTCATTCACGGTTGTGTTGGTCTGGGTACACTCAGGGAAACAGATTCCACACAGTAATTCAAATAGGGGATGTTTAATATAAAGACTTATTAATTCTGATAGGAAAGTAACTATGAAGATATAAAGAGACCCCCTACTGGGTATCCTTTAAGAGAGGGCCCTCGGGGCAAAAGCTTGGCCAGAGGGGCTCCCTCAAGGCTGGGGCTGCAACTCAGCTGGAGAAGGCATGGCTGAGCACACAGGTTGGAGGTTAAGTTCACTGGGATGCTCGGTCAGAGTTCAGCCGCCAGGTGAGCAAGCAAGAAAGGGGTACGGATGCAGGCGAGCTGAAGCTGGTGAGTACTGCTCTGGGGAGAAGGCCTGGTGTGTGGCGCTCACGTTGGAAGTATGGTGGGAAGCAGCATTTTGGGGTAAAGACCAGCTGATCCTGGAGATTAGGATACAGGAGGAGGTGGGGTTCCGCGGCAAGTGTGAGGCCTGGAGGGCACATCCACAGCACAAGGGCTGGGGTGAGTCGGTCACTGGGCCCAGGCCGGGGGCCTCGGGTCTCTGAGAACTCTACAACCTGCAGAGTCTGGGCACGTGGCTGAGGTGGGCCCCACTGCCGACCGGCCCAGCAGCCCGCCCGCGGGAACCGAGCAAGATCAGAGCACCAGCCCCGAGAAGCCCGTCCTGCGGTGTCCCTCCAGCGCCCTCTACTGATGAAGACTCACGTCGCGCTCATCCTAAGAGTCCTGTCTGTCAATCACAGGCGGGTGCTGGAGGGGGATCCCGCCGGGAAGTAATGGACTGATGAGGGCCGCAGTGCTCGATGCCGAGGCTCAGGATTTCGTCCATGGCTGCGATTCTAGCCACCCTCAGATGGTGGCTGGACTCATGGGTCCTCGAGGGAGGATCTTCCCACGTCTCCTCACCTGCCCTGAGACACAGGGTGCACCAGAACGCGGCTCTTGCCCCGCGGCCCCCGTTTTTCCTCTTCTCGAATAATCTAGGTCCCTAGAGTCAGAGCACTCTTTGCTCATTCATCGGGTCCAATCTGAACTGTTTCTGTTTCGGCCTTCGTGCAGTTCCTTTTCCCTCTGGCCCAGTGCCTGATTCCAGGACAAAGCTACTTTCTCATCACCTCCTGAATCCTGACTCTGCCCGTAAATCCTCTCAACAGAGTGTTTGGGAAGTGGAACTTCTCATTCACACCTTGTGCAAGCCTCACCTTGTGAAATGCATGTCATTGTCCTGGTTTTACAGATGGGGCACCTGAGGCTTAGAAAGGTGAGGCAAGTGCTTCCAGACACTTCCAGAACAAGTTCCAATTGGCAATGGGTGGAGGTGGGATTAGAACCTGAGTCTGCTTATCTCTGACTCAGGAGAGCTTGCCACCCCCTGGGGGCACTCGCAGCTTCCTGCTTACTTCTCTTCTGGTAACTTCAGACTCACTTGTCTCCTGGCTTCTCACCAATTCTGCTTTCTTCTGAATTTCCGGGTCATCTAAAGTGTTCTCCAAGACTGTCATACTGAGTGAAGTGAGCCAGTCAGAGACAGAGAAACATCCTATGCCATCCCTTATGTGTGGAATCTAAAAAGAGACTATACAAATAAACTTACAAAACAGCAGGAGAGCCACAGACTTAGAAAACGAACTTATGGTTACCGGCAGCGGGGGCGGGATGCTTAGAGAGCTTGGGATGGTCATGTACACACGGCTATGTTTAAAATCGATAACAAGCGAGGACGTACTGTATAGCACATGGAACTCTGCTCAGTGTTACGTCGTCGCCTGAGTCGAGGAGGGTTTGGGGGAGAATGGATATGGCTGACTCCCTTTGCTGTTCATATGAAACTATCACAGAATTGTTAACTGGCTGTACATCAGTACAAAATAAAAAAAGTTAAAAAAAAAAAAGAACGTGTTCTCCCAGATTCATCACTGAGAAACTTTCTTCTAGGATCACCTCCTCCAAGATCCAATTCAGATCTTGATTAGTTTTTAAGTGAGTTATGTTTTATTTGTGGCTGTGCTGGGTCTCTGCGGCTGCGCTGGTTTTTCTCCAGTCGCGGCGAGCCCGGGCCGCCGTCTAGCTGCGGCTGCCTCCCTTGCTGAGGAGTCAGGCTCTCGGGTACACGGGCTTCAGCAGCCGCGGCTCCTGGGCTCCAGGGCACCGGCTCAGCATTTGTGGCCCATGGGCTTAGTCGCTGTGCGGCGTGGGGCATCTCCCCAGACCAGGGATTGAACCTGAGTCTCCTGCGCTGGCAGGCGGATTCTTCACCACTGAGCCTCCTGGGAAGCCCCGGGTCTTTATTTCTTTTACCTGGGGTTTCTTCTCTAACAGTTGCCTCATGACATCTCTTTGCATTTAGCTCCGTGCAATGTAATTGCAGCTTATTTTCTCTGGTCTCAGGTTGATGAGACAGATACCTAAACCCTCTCTAATTGTGAAGATGCTGTTTTTACCTCCTCCATCACCCTGTCCCCGACAGATACACACACGGATGGAAGGGAGTGCGGCTAGAAGTGAGAATTTCTCTTCCCAGAGGCGGTTACACTATTCAAGGGATTGTAAAGCCAGAAATAAACAATCTGGGACCCGGCACTGACATGAAAACTGGCCATCTTCATCCCCTATTCTCAGGAAACCAGGATCTTGCTGTGAAGTGCTGAGCATGCCAGCTGGGCAGAGACGGCTACAGGGCACATTGAGATCTTGCCCCTCTTCCTTCTCCAGTTCATCCGTCCTCCTTCAACAAGTCACCTGCCCCTTCTCCCTTTCTCCTGAGTCATGTCCTCCACCCCATCGTTATCACTGACGCTGCCTGGTCTTCCGTAGCCCCCACCCCTCTATCCCTTCCTTCTGGTCCATGGTCCCCGCTCTTCCTCCTTCCTTCCTCCTCGCCAGGCTTTACTGGCAAAATCAAACAAAATAACAAGAGAACGGGGAATAAGTAAACAGCTGCCTGCCCCGCTCGCTCGTGGCAGTCCCTGGAAGCCGCTTCCTTCTCCTCCGTTGACAGAGTGTCTCTGCATTTCAAAGCATTTGGCCGTCATTCAAGGCCGGTCCCAGTGGCCGTGGAGTTATTGTGTTGAGATGAAGGTGCATCTAGGCAGTTTCTATATTTAGGCGCAATTGTGTTTCTGGAAAAGGCTGCACACCACATAATAGGAAATCCTGAGAGTGTGAAGACTCTTTCTTGCTGGTCGAAGCACTGTTGTCTTTGGCTGTTCTGACAACAGCAGAAACCTTCGAGTGAGCGGGCAAAGGTGGACGGGGCAGCAGGACCGAGGGGCCCGGCTGCTCGGGGTAGCCCAGAAGCAGTGAAGTGGGGGGAGTGGGAATGGCTGGGGAAGGTGATTGAAAACTGTAAGTGAAAGCAAATGAAGTTACAGAATCCTGTCACAGGATGAAAAAAAAATAACTGGTCACTTGGGGAAAATATCTGCGGAAATGAGGTCAGCTAGAGCAAGGCACTGCCTGCTCAGTGTATGCTCCTATAGACATGGTCCTTGATTAAGTGAGACGTAATGGACGCACTCAATGGTGATAATGATGACAGTCAATGGTGATGACCGGGGACCTGCCATTCATTCAGAACCCGCAGGGTGATGGAGGAGGTAAAAAACAGCATCTTCACAACTAGAGAGGGTTTAGGTATCTGTCTCATCAACCTGAGACCGGAGAAAATAAACTGCAATTAAATTGCATGGAGCTAAATGCAAAGAGATGTTATGAGGCAACTGTTAGAGTAGAAACCCCAGTAAAATAATAAAGACCTGGGGCTTCCCAGGAGGCTCAGTGGTGAAGAACCCGCCTGCCATTGATGCGGACCGTGACGATCGTGTTGGAGAAAGCCATCGCTATTTTATTTAGGCTTAAGGAACTGAAGACTCAGCTGGGAGTCTCTGGAGAGTTCTGAAGCAGTGCTTTCTCATCCTTACATGTACATATGAATCACCTGGAGTATTGCATTTGCAAGCTGGTTCTGATTCAATAAGTTGCGGACAAGTGTGAGATCCTGGATTTCTGATAAACTTGCTGGCAAGTTCTGCCAGCCAATCAATACATCTGTTCTGTTTGCATACAGGGAGGGATGTGAAGTGTGAAAGTGTTAGTCGCTCAGTCTTGTCTGACTCTTTGCCTCCCCACGGATGGCAGCCAGCCAGGCTTCTCTGTCCATGGGGTTCTCCAGGCAAAATACTGAGAGGGTTTCCATTCCCTTCTCCCGGGGATCTTCCCGACCCAGGGATTGAACCTGGGTCTCCCACATTGCAGGCAGATGCTTTGCCATCTGAGCCACCAGGGGAGCCCACAGCGGGGGATGGGAGGACATATCTGGGGATGGATCTTTAGAGCATTGGGAGGGGTCGGGAGTCAGGGTTGGGAGACAGCAAGTAAGGCAGGGTTTATTGATATGGGGCAGTCATGATTTAGGATTCATATCCTGGTGAGGGCACAGAAGACACTCTGGTTACTAGAGTGATAAGGAATCCACTAGTTAGGGATGGGGGACACCGACATCCTGTCGTCCGCAGGCCAAGGTTGACTGCAGGGGATGCTGCATTAGACTTGGGCTCCATGCTCATCCTGAAGTGTACCAAAGGCCAAATGGAGGCACTTAATCATCAGAGGCAAGCTGGAGGTGACTGTCATAGTGAGACGTAAGGCAGACGCACAGTCTGGGGGCTTTGACCTGCAAGGGCCTCTGGCGGTGACAGCCCGGTGTGTGTAGGGACAGGGTCATAGGCAGCCCTTGGCGGTGCTGCTTGACCTGCGTATCCGAAAAGGTCAAGAGCAAATGAGCAGAAGGCTGGTATCAGCGGCCGCTGTGAAAAATCACCGTCTCTCCTCCAGTTTTGAGACAGGAGTCTGTTCTCAGACCCAGAGCACATTATTAAAGGGGGGATCAGGTGCTTTTCAGGCTTCCCAGGTGGTGCTAGTGGTAAATGCAGGAGTGGCGTGATGACAGTCAACGGTGATGACTGGGGACATCTGCCTGCCAATGCAGGAGACATAAGAGACACAAGTTCAATTCCTGGTTGGGAAGCTCCCCTGGAGGAGGGCATGGCAACCCACTCCAGTATTCTTGCCTGGAGAATCCCATGGACAGAGGAGCCTGGTGGGCTACGGTCCATTGGGTTGCAAAGAGCGGGACACAACTGAAGTGACTAACACACACACAGGTGCTTTTCAGGAAGAATCGGGCAGCATACCACGTCAGATATGTTTGGAAGCTCATCCCCTAATCTTCCCCCAAATCCCACAGCCACTGACCACAGTAATTCTATGCTAGGGAAAGGAGACTACCGAGGTCTTTCAAGGATCTGAGTCGGTACTGATAATAGAGGGCCCAGACCAGCTGCACGGCCCCCTGTTAGAGTGGTGTGCACAAAGCCGTGTGATGAATGTCTCAAATCAGTCTCAAAATGGGTCCAAATTGGTCTGTGAACCACACGGAGATCTCTTCCCCATTTCAGAGGTATGCTGGTAAACCTGCTCTCCCCAAAGAAGGAGAAGATAGAGGAGGAGGGGGAGGCAGGGGAGAAGGAAGAGAAAAGAAAAAAAGCCCTCGCCTAAACATGTGCCCTTTACTGATTTTTATGTAGTCAATGCTCCAAGCATGGCTAACTTCCAGCCACCGGCATGAAGTCACTGAACACGACCTGGGGAAAAGATGCCCCAGACTCCCCCTGTAGAAACAGGCTGGACGCACAGTGGGACTCACCTGGAGGCCTTCAGCCCGCGGGCCAGGGCCCGCAGCTGTTTGGGTGAATCATCTCTTTCCTTCCACCCGCGCCTTGCTGACACGGCCGTAGCTGCCGGTCTAGCGGCGCTGAGGAGTCACAGCGCAGGTCAGGACAGCAAACACTGTCTAACAGGGTATCTGGCTGCGGGGGGGCCTTTGTCTAACTCCCAGGCGAGGGGCGACTGCTCTCCTCTGGCGAGTGGGAGGGGGTGACTCTGCCAGCCCAGAGCTCCGAGGAACCTGAGGGTTCAGGCTCACCTCCCAGGCTTTCGCATCGCCGGTCCTGGGTGCCACGCCCTTCTCCTCGGGGCCCTCGCTTCCCTGCAGGAGACACGGCATGGCTGTGATCCAAACTCCTCTGTTGCTGCAGCCCTCTGACAAGCAGCTTGTAGACCTGGGTTTCTTCCTGACCAGCCCTCAGTTGCAGGAGATGAGGATTTTAAAACACGCTGCCATGGAAGCTTTCTGGTTTTCACACTGTTCTAAGGTGATGGTTTGCTGCACTGAGACGGTTGTTTCTTCCTTCAGGTTTCGATAGTAGTTAACAGCAGCTCAGCAACTCTCCAGTCAGACGTGCCAGAGCTCTTACATGCGCTGGTGCACCCCCTTCCAGCAGATTCCATCTGACCTCACTGCAGACGAGAATTTTGGAGAACTCGCACACAGCTGAGTGAGATAAGAATCTTAGAGAGCCTGTCAGAACTTCCCTTGACACCAACAGTGGGGTCTCCAGCACTGGGCTAATCAGGGATCCAGTTCCACAGTCCCATCCTCGGGGTGTTCGTCTACGACAACGTCCAGCACCAGCTGTCGTAGGCTACTGCTGTTGCTCAGCTGCTGAGTTCTGTCGGACCCTTACGACCCCATGGGCTGCAGCACACTAGCCCCTCTGTCCTCCACCATCTCCCAGAGCTTGCTCAAACTGGTGTCCATGGAGTCGGTGATGCTACCTAACCATCTCATCCTCTGCCACCCTGTTCTGCTTTTGCCTTCAATTTTCCCCACCATCGGGATCCTTGACAGATGGATTTGAGTCTAAATATTTTATTTTTGAGAGGATCCCAGGAAGCACCACAAAGAAAGGCAGGGGCTTGATAAAGGGAGTGCAATCCAGTAGGCACCCTCTGGAGAACACCGGGGCTTCATGGCGCTGGGAAATATTCTGGAACATTCCTCAGAGTTGTCCACTGTCCTGAGGGGTGAGGAAACTGATGTGTTAATCCACCCACATCTCAGCTATCATTGCTTGAGGGCTGTGTCTGGCATGATATTAACTCCTCGGCAGCCCCAAACAGCCCTCGGCAGAGGAAAATCAGGCATTTACAAGAGGGAGCCATAGGTCTTTTGAGGCGCTTGCCAAGGAGATGTGGGCTGGGCATGTGAGTCCCTGCTGCAACCTGGGGTTGTAGAGCTGAGTTAAGGGTCACTTCACCATGGTGGCAGCAGCAATGCCAAAACGAATTCAGAGTAAAGCCAGCCCAAGTGGGGACTTTCCAACCGGAAAGTCTTGGGGAAAGGGAGACCTCAGTGCTGGAGCCAGTGATGACATGATGGCCGGGAACCACAATTCCAGCTGAAGATGGGAATGTCGCCCTGCCACGTGGGATGAGTCACCCACCACGCCAGTCCTTGCGAGACTCTTCACAGACTGGGGTGAGCCCCGAGCCAGTTCCCGGGAGACTCTCCGTGGATGCTGGGAGACGTGGTCCACAGATGGGTTGGTGGTAATTTAGCTGCTCAGTCGTGTCTGACTCTTGCAACCCCATGCCTGCAGCCCTCCAGGCTCCTCTGTCCATGGGATTCTCCAGGCAAGAATATTGGAGTGAGATGCCCTTTCCTTCACCAGGGGATCTTCCCCACCCAAGGATAGAAACAGGTCTCCTGCATCGCAGGCAGATTTTTTACTGACTGAGCTACCAGGGAAGCCCACAATGGGTTAATCTGACAAATTAACACTGTGCTTTCAGGTAACAACCCGTGATCCCAGCAAAAAAGGCCCCTGACAGAGTGAAACTCTCCTTAGATGAGAGTTTCAAGCACAGGCTGTAGGGAAGTGATAGATATACAGGTTTTGGGTTTTATTTGTGTTTTTGTAGGGACTCTCACATGATATTGAGAATACTAAAAGCAACTACTAAACATTGCTATGGAGTTCTTGGAGCACTTTCACATATTGACTAGTTCAGTCGACTTTCACAAGCCAATGAAGACAAATATGGCGGAGGTTTGTCCTCATTTGAGAGATCAGAACACTGAGATGCAGAGAGATTCAGTGACTCACTGCAAGGTCCTGATACCACGTAGTGGTTGGAGAAGAGGCTCAACCTCCCATCTCTGACTGCCTGTCACTCAGCGCTTGTTCCTAGAGCAGCATTTCCCCCATTAGCTTAAAAGAGCACTTTGATAGCAGCAACGTGCCGGGGATGCTGAAGCATCCCCGGTGCCAGCATATTCTGAGTATCTAATATCTGTATGTTAAGCAAATGAATTTTGAAGTCCCTCCAGAAGACTTGCAAACTGATACAGCATCTTTCATCAACTCCCCTTTCGTCTCTCCTCCTAGCTATGCACACACACACACACACTCTTCTCTCACACATACATTCACACACACACACACACACACACACACACACACACACGCTTCAGTCCTGCAGGCTATACTCCGCCCCCCCACCCCCAAGTTTATTGAGACCAAGTTGACATATAAAACTGTAAATTACTTAAAGTGCAGATCGTGGTGATTTGATATACATATAGGTAGGGAAAGCATTCCCCCGTTTAGCTCATTAACACATCCATCACATTTATCTAGAACATTTGAGTTCTGCTCTTTGAGGAAATTTCAACTAAACAAGGCATTTTTGATACTTCCTGGAAAGCCTTGGAGAAACTGAGACATCTGAAGACCGAGAAGGAATCAGAGCTAGCCTGACATTTGTCAGGAGACCCACACTGCTCTCCGGACGCGTCTTTGCCGTCGGAAGGGGGAGTCTCCGCGGAGTCCTGACGGTTCACCAGCCTCCTGGCGTCTGCTCTCCCAAGGTCGGGCCTCGCTTCGGCGGCATGCAGTGCCCGCCAGAGCCACAGGAGGGAGCCAGCGGCGCGGAGAGCGGCCTGCGGCAGGCCCGACGCTCCGGAGGCTGGGCCGGACCCAGAGGGAAACGCGGAAGTCATCTGAAAGAGCGCCCGAGGGAGGGGCGGGCGGAGACCGCGAGGGGCGGGAAGCAGAGCCGAGCGACTGAGAGACCGGGACTGTGGAGTGAAACGGCGGGGAGGGGGCGGGCGTTAAACTGTAATCCATCACGTTTCATGTTAGAGAAATTCAGGGGAACTTCCAGTTCTACTTTGCACTGTTCTCGTTGTTTTTCCAGAACAAATGAACATTTTCACAATTAACAGCGAATAAACAAACATATTTCAAACAAATGGGGAAGATAGAATAAACTAAGCAAAATGATGGAAAAATCCTGTGGTTGCTCCGGAGTTCTGGGACAAATCAACGTCGTTTCAGGATTTTTTTTTTTTTTCTTTGTTACCAGGCACTGCCCCCACATCTCCTTTCCCTTGATTCACTCTCTTATGAATCGTAATTGTCTTCTGAACAAACTATCTTTAGCCTGAAATTAGTATAAATTAATAGTAGATAGTTTCACTGTTTTGCAATAATTCTTACCTGAAGCTGTTATTATTTCTACTTCTTTATGAAGATAAACCCCTAAATGATTGATGCCATTAATGAGCTATAAATGCAACTGGTAAAACTTCATTAGAAACAATAGTAAAATTATTTTAGTTGCCTCTTGGAAGCCTCTGTTTAGAGCATTGGTTTTGTGTATCCTGAGAGGTACAGCTATAAAGCAATGGGAATGAATTTAATTAACCATCTTAGACCTCATGTATGTAATTGACACTTTTCCTGCAAATCACAAGAACCAGTATGATTATTACAGGCATCAAAGCACTTGGCTTAGGAAATTGCCCTCTGAGTCCATTTAGAAAACATACCCAAGGAAAAAGAAATCAATTTATGTCATGCCTCTTTGGGACTCCAAATGTTATTAGCCATCTTAAAATGTGTTTTACTCATTTGAATATAGCCGCAGGTGTCTCAAAGCTTTTCTGGAGATTAATCCACCCTCAGAGGATGACACTCACCACCTCCATCAGAGGCTATGGGAGAAGGGGGTGGGGGAGTTAAGAGAATCTGGCCTTGGTGCTGGGGCTGAAGCTCTCTGTTTGATGGGAGAGGAGGTGGAATGCTCACATTGTCTTTGAAGAGTGCCCTCTTAGACTCTCCCTGGTACCCACACAACTGAGAGGAGCCTAGGGTAAGCCTCTGCTTACTCTCCCACCCCCAGAGGTGGGCCCTGAGGCAGCTGAACTTATTCTGTCCCCAAGCTTCAATCATTTATATATCATAAATACATTGAAAGGGCTAATGTCAGAACTGAAAACTAGAACTGGAGGGTATCTAGAAGCATCTATGGAGGGCTGATGAAAAATTCATTTCTTCGTTAAAATATCATAGGAAGTATTGAACTTATACAAAACTTCCAAATAAAATCTTTGAACATTTTAAGTAAGAGGATGGTTTGCCTCTATCTACATGGTTTTCTTCCTTCCTTCCTTTCTTTCTTTATTTTTGGCCGCCCGTGCCCCCTGCCATGGAAGCTCAGAGTCCTAACTGCTGGACCATCAGGGAAATTCCCTACATAATTTTCTAGGATCAGATTTGTGTTTGCAACAATTCCTCAAGACTTCTTAATAATAACCTCTTCGGAATTTTGACAGTCACCATCAATGACTTTGTCTGCAAAAGAGAGTGATTTTATTTTTAAGACTGGTTTCACAGCCATTCAAAAGTTTACTACATTTGAAATTATGGCAAAAGAGAATCCAACTCTATTCCTCTTCTTTCAAGATGGAGAATGCTGGCATTTCCTGGATAAGGGGAATATATTTTGATTTCAGTGAAACATTTTCAAATCAAGTATCTCAAAATAAGGAGCTCTAATGTGGAGAGGTTTTTCCAGTAGTCATACACAGATGTGAGAGTTGAACCATATAAAATGCTGAGTGCCAAAGAATTGATGCTTTTGAATTGTGGTTCTGGAGAAGACTCTCGAGAATCCCTTAGACAGCCAAGAGATCAAACCAGTCAATCCTAAAGGTAATCAATCCTGAATAGCCATTGGAAGGACTGATGCTGAAGCTCCATTACTTCGGCCATCCGATTTGAAGAGCCAACTCATTGAAACAGACCCTGATGCTGGGAAAGAAAGCAGGCAAAAGGAGAAGAGGGCAGCAGAGGGTGAAGTGGTTGGATAGCATCACCGACTCGAAGGATGTGAACGTGGGCAAACTCTGGGAGATGGTGGAGGCCAGGGAAATGGCGTGCTCCAGTCCATGGGGTCACAAAGAGTTAGACATGACTTAGCGACCGCACTGCAGCCCTGCACAGAGGGGACGTGCATGCACGGTTCGCGTGCTTCCTGTGAGGCCAGGAGCCGGAAGTTTCCCATGGATACGAAGATAGAGATTCAGGAGCTGTGAAGGCCAGAAGTCCCTTGCTTCTTGGGTCCCTGGAGAGAGACTCTTCTGGCCTCTGCATAAGCCCCTCATCCAGGCAGTCATGGCCACCCTCTGGGTGGCGGGGGGGGGGTGGTGCTGCCCACGTGGAAGGAAGGAGGGCACCCACATCACTGCTCACCCTCAGCTCACCCTGCACAGAGGCCAGCGAGATGGTCACGGGGATGCGCCGGGCTCTCTGGCCTCGAGGCCTCAGGAAACCAGGGTCCTGGGGCTCACTAGTAAGCGCCCCACTACAAACCGCTGTGGGAAAGCTCTCTTCTACTTTAGGCTCAAGGAATTTTCTCCACTCGTGTCCTGCTCAGTCAATTTGGCAGAGAGAGAAACAGAGGGATTTTCCGAGCTAAAGCTCCACGGGTACCGTAGTGCTCTAGGCTGCCTATGCCCCAGGACTGAACTCCCTTGGAGCTTACCAGGGTTGGCATAGCTTCAGGAAGATGCTTTGAAGTGAAGTGAAAGTTGCTCAGTCGTGTCTGAGTCTTTGCGATCTCACGGACTGTAGCCCACCAAATTCCTCTGTCCATGGGATTTCCCAGGCCAAGAATACTGGAGTGGGTTGCCATTTCCTTCTCTAGGGGTCTTCCCAACCCAGGATTGAACTCAGGTCTCCTGCACTGCCGGCAGATTCTTCACCATCTGAGCCAGCAGAGACGTCAAGACTCCTGTCTTCAGGTATCTGCTGCTACTGAGATGTGATCAACAGCCTCTTAGATGTTCACAGTGGAAGAGCTAAGAGTTATTTCAGATGTGGTTGGAACAATGGTATGACCAGAATGTGTCCAATCACCCAAGGTGACTGCTTTTGAGGGGACAGTGCTCATTTGGGTATTTTCTCCTGTTGGGATAACCTGCCTCTTCTTATCCTTCCACAGAGTCTTCTTTTATCCATAGATGAAGGGTTCTGCGGCATCTCAGAAAAACTGGGTCACTGCTCAGCTGTGTCAGCATGTAACTAGATTTGTGAATGGGCTTCACCTACTTTTAATCAGTGGTAGCTTTGTACCCTCATTTGTCTATAGCCTCTCACTAAAGAACAGATGACTCTTTAAATGTAGCGACTTAAAATAACACATATTTATTATCTCAGTTTCTGTGGGGCAGGGATCAAGTGGGGCTCAGCTCGTGCCTCTGGCTTTAAAGCCCTCATGTGGTTGCTGTCGAGCTGTCAGCTGGGGGCTGTGGTCTCATCTGCAGACTTGGTTGGGGGAGAATACGCTTCTAAACTCATTCATGTTGCTGTTGGAAGAATTTAGTTCCTTGTGGGTCAGCTTCCCAGGTGGGTCAGAGGTAAAGAATCTGCCTGCCCGTGCAGGAGGCACAGGACACCCAGGTTTGATCCCTGGGCCCGAAGATCCCTGGGTAGGAAATGACAACCACTCCAGTGTTCTTGCCTGGAGAAGCCCATGAACGGAGGAGCTTGCGGGCTACAGTCCATGGGGTCACAAAGGGTTTGCCATGCATGGGCTGTTGGACTGAGGACCTTGGTTCCTGGCTGGCTCTTGGCTGGAGCTGCCCCTCAGCTCTTTGCCATGTGAGTCTTTTCTTGGGGCGGCTTATACAACAGAGCCACTGGCTTCTGTCTGAGTGAGCAAGCGAGAGAGAGGAGAAGCCCCCAAGACAGAGACCGCTAGATCTGAAACTGAGAAGGGCCTTGCAGGAGCTTCTCAGGGGGGACTCCTCTGCGTCCCCGCTTACTGCTGCTTGGGAAACGCGGTCATGAAATACGCTCTGACCTCCTAGGCCCTCATATAGAACAAAGAACGGGCCCTAGTGCTTAATGTTTAGGGAGGCGAAGAATGCTAAAACAGAGATAGGACCGTCAGGCAGGAGTGTAACCATCATTTCAACACCAAATCAGTCACAAGGACTCCCAGTTCTGTTTCAAAAGTAAAAATAAGTCTGACGCACACGCCTAAATTGTTTTGCAGATACTAAAACCCCCGCCAGGTAGAAGTCAACCAAATGCTGAACGCCAACGTGTAGCCCGAGACTCGTTGGAGCCAGAAAACTGATAATTGAGATTCTCCAAACGTCATCCATCCCACGAGTCTCCCCCTCACCCTGTCTTTGAACACCCTTGCCTAAAAGTCATCAGGGGGTTCAATCTTTTGAGCATGAGTGGTCCGCTCCCTTTGCTGGCGCCTGCAAGAAATATCAGACTTCTCTTGACCCAAACCCAGCATCAGTAGATGAGTCTTACTGCATGCTGGGCGAGCAGACCCAGGCTCGATTCAGTGACAGATTTGTGACCCAGTCTTTGGAGGAATTTCTCACTAATCAGCCATAAACTGAGAAATAGGTCAATAAATCCAGCCCTCCCTCAAGGGGAGGAGGTCACACAAGCTTGAATAACAGGAGTCAGAGGTCAGTATTGGTTATCATGGAAGCTACCCATCAGCCTCTGCTTAAGGCCCGTACTTATCCCCTTTCTCTGAGGTTCTTCCTGAAGGATGAGCTGGTCTCCCCACTGTTGGAGGACTGAAGCCCTTGGTCCTTGTTACTGCCTCTTTTCCCATTCACTCTCCTCCTCATTCAACAAGTATATATTGAGGCTGCCATATGCCAGATTCCATGCTCCACGCTTGGAGGCCGACAGAAAAGAAGCCCCATCTGTACACACAGCTTCTTTCCTTCTGGCCTCTATCTGAGGCCTCTTGCAGTCCTCTCATAGGCCCGCTGGTATCCCAGTGGCATGGGTCAGGGCTCCTCCCGATGCCACCATCCTCCAAAGCACCACGTTCCGCCTCCAGCCTGGTCACTCCATCCACCCCTTGTCCACAGTCAGACTTTTCTTCTCCATCCCGAGCCTTCCCAGATCAGCAGATCCTGCTTGCTCCCTTCTGAGCGAGGGAACCTTTCCAAGCCTCGGTGTCCTGTCGGGGCTATGACTTGTATAGTAAACTAAGATAATATAGGAAAGAACCTAGAACAGCCATTGGCAACAGCAAACACTTAAACTGTGGCCTTCCCAGTGTTGTAATTTTTCTGCACACCTGTTCAGGCAGCCACAAAATTAGTCACATCGCCACAGAGTCACACCCACATGAGTGTGAGAGCAGGAACGTTGATAAAAAAGGCTATGCTCATTTCCTCCAATTTAATCACCACTGTGACGCTTGTTTCTTAAAAGCACACCTGATCTCATGATGGAAACCTGAACTCTTTCATGCTTTCTCACTGTTACTGCTGCTTTTCTTGGAGGTGCCTGTGTTGTTGCATCCATCCCCCACCCCCAGCCCACATTGGGTGACTCGTGTGGTCCCCTGCCGCTGGCCCTCACAGAGCCTGGCTGCCTGGGTGGAGCCATCTTCATCCTCTATCGGGGCATCCTTGCCTGCAGGGGCCGCAGGCAGGAGGATTTGAGTCAAGATTTCCCTTGTCAGCTCCCAGGGGCAACCAGTCCATACATGAAAAGAAAATGAAGGTATTCGTTGCTCAGTCGTGTCTGACTCTTTGTGACCCAAGAACTATAGTTCATCAGGCTCCTCTGTCCATGAGGTTCTCCAGGCAAGAATACTGGAGTGGGTTGTCATTCCCCTCTTCCCAACCCAGAGATTGAACCTGGGTTTTCTGCATTGCAGGGAGATTCTTTACAGTCTAGGCCACGTGGGAAATTGCACACCAGCTGTTAGGAAAACATCACACAGGAGCCAGTGACTATGTTGAAGCCGGGGTCCCCTCGCATGAGTTGTTGGTGAGCTTTAAGGCAGGAGGAAGCCCCTGGAAGGAACTGTTGGGTCCTGCCCGCCCCCACCCCCAGGTTTTGGAGGATCTAGCATAGATCACACTTGGCTAAACTTAGATTTCTCCCCGCCTCTGTCAGCGCTGCCTCCAGACACAAGGCAGGTGTTGCAGTGATGTAGTGCAATCGGCCCTGTCTCTCCACACTGCTGTCCCAGCCGCGTCCCTGGCTGCTCAGACGGAGCAGCCGGAGGTCTGGCTCACCTCCTGTGGTAGAAACAAGTGTTTACCTTCTCATCTCAGCCCCCTATATACGGCTTGATGAACAAACAGTTAAGGAAGTCGGCTTGGTTGTTGCTCACCACAAGCTAAGATGACTACAAGTCAGAGAGGAGGGGAGTATAAGACGGCCTGGGGTGAAGTCTGGAGCTTTACCATTAAAACATTGAGTCTGGGGGCTTCCCTGGAGGATCAGTGGTAAACAATCCATCTGCCAACGCAGGAGGCACAGGTTTGATCCCTGGTCTGGAGAGATCCCACAGGCCACGGAGCAACTAAGCCCGAGCAGCCCAACGACTGAGCCTGTGCCCTGGAGCCCGGGAGCTGCACCGCGGAGCCCTCCTGCTGCGGCTGATGAACTCCCCACAGCCTGAACGCGTGCTCTGCAACAAGAAAAGCCACGGCAATGAGCAACGAGCGGCCTGAGCGCCGCAGCAAAGGGTAGCTCCCACTCGCTGCAGCTAGAGCAAGACCGCACGCAGCAACGAAGACCCGGACGGCCAAAACTAACTGAATGGACTGTTTTACAGACCAGAGTTTTGCAGCCCTCTCACAGCAGGTGGGTTTACGGAAGCCCTCCTCCCCCACCTGGCTGTGGGGGCCTGCTGCTCTCTGATATTTGCCCCTCGGCCCTTCGGGATTTTCCGTCCTCTCTCCTCATCCGCATCCCCTGCTTCGTTTCCCCCACAAGCTTAGCCCCGCCTCCTCGATTTCCCCGCGTCCGCCCCAGCCCTCTGCTCTGAGGAGGGAAGCCCTCCCACACGCAGGGCTCTGGGCTCCCTTCTCACGCCGACACGGCCCTCCCCCGTCCAGCGCCTCTGCGGCGCCGGTGATCGCGGATGGAGAGCGATGGGGCTGGGCTGGAGGCCCCGTCTCGTGCTGGGCGGGCTGACAGAGCTCCGGGGAGGCGGGTAACGAGCCCTGGGAAGCAGAAGCTCAGCTGCTTCTTAAAGGGAGTGCGGGGCTGGCTTCAGAGCGGGGTAGGTGGTTGGCGGGCTTCTCGGTGGCGCGAGTGGTAAAGAATCTACCTGCCAATCCAAGAGACACAGGAAACAGGATTCAGTCCCTGGGTTGGGAAGACCCCCTAGAGGGGGAATTGCAACCCACTCTGGTATTCTTGCCTAGAGAATCCCAAGGACAGAGGGGCCTGGTGGGCTGCGGTCCACAGGGTCAAAGGGCCAGGCTGGACTGAGCGGCTCAGCACGCACGCACTCAGGCGGTTAGAGCAGGAGGTGACGGCTCAGGTCCTCCTCACCGCCTCCCTCTGCGTCCTGCTGCTTCTCTTCTGTCTCAGGCAGCTGTGTCTCTACCTGACTCTCTGAGGCTTTCCGACGAGTGAGGGGTTGAGCATGACAGTTAGCAGGTAGCAATCTCCAGACTATGTAAGGAACTACACCTCAACAGCCAAAAGGTAAACAAGCCAAATAAAAAAGTGCAATAAGGAGGTGAATACACGTTTCCTTAAAGAATACATACAAATGGCTGATAAACATGGAAAAAGATGCTCAACATCATTAGTCATTAAGGAAATGCAAATCCAAGCTACAATGAGATACCACTTCACATCTACTAGGATGGCTATATTTTTTTTTTAAAAAAAAGGAAAAATAACAAGTGTGGGCAAGTATGTGGAGAAATCAGAACACTGGTACATTGCTATTGGGGATATAAAATTGTACAGATGCTATAGAAAACAGTTTGGCAACATAACAGAATCTAAACATACAATTACCATATGGTCTAGCAATTCCATTCCTAAATGTACACCCCAGAGAACTGAAAAGAGGGACTCAGATCCTTGTCTGCAAATGTCCACAGCAGCACTATTCACAATACCCAAAAGGTGGAAACAACCCAAGTTGTCCATCAATGGATGAATGGAGAAACAAAATTCGGCATACCTATACAATGGGATAGTATTGAACCATAAAATGAACAAAATTCTGATACATACTACAACATGGATGAACCTTGAAAACAAGCTACATAAAATGTCAGTCACAAAGGGAAAAGTATTGTATTTTTGTGTTTGTGCTGTATTAATCATGCATGTATTGATATGATTCCATATTAGTAAAATATCTAGAACAGGCAAATTCATAGAGACAGAAAGTAGATTAGAGGTTGGCAGGGGCTGGGGCAGGTGAGGCGTTATTGTTTAATGGATACAATGTTTCTGCTTGGGTTGATACAAAATGCTTTGGAAATGAATAGTGGTAACAATTGTACAACACTGTGAACAGTGATTAATGTCACTGAATTATACACTTAAAAGTATAAAATGGCAAGTTTTATGTTCCATATATTTTATCACAATAAAAAATTCAAAGCCAAACAAAAAGAGAGCTCCAAAGGGCAGGTGCGTGAACACAGGCTCTAGAGGTGGAAGGGCTGGAGGCTGAAATTTGTGAGCTGCTTCCTAGGAGAGGGACTGCGGGCAAGACTTGACACCTTGGGTAAATCCTCCTGAAGTCTGTTTTCTCACCAGGAGGCAGGAGAGTGAAACTCCTAAGGGCACAGGCTGTGGCTGCCCAGGTCCAACTCCCATTTTGACACTTGTGTGAACTTGAATGAGTTACTGAGCCCTCTTGCTCTGTTTTCCACTTTTGTAAATTGGAGACAATCTAACTCACCTCACTGGGTTTTTGTTTGGATTGGATAAGTTAATTTGTACCAAGTTTTGGACTTCCCTGGTAACTTAGACAGTAAAGAATCTGCCTGCAATGCAGGAGACCCAGGTTTGATCCCTGGGTTGGGACGATCCCCTGGAGAAGGGAATGGCAACCCACTCCAGTATTCTTTCCTGGAGAATCTCATGGACAGAGGAGCCTGGTGGGCTACAGTCCATGGGGTTGCAAAGAGTTGGACACAACTGAGCGACTAACATTTTCACTTTTAAAAAATAGAGACTGGCCAGTAAGGAGTGCTCAAATAAATATTAGCTGTAAAATGGAAGCATGGGGGGGATGGGGTGGCTGCAGGCATTGGTGGAATTATTTAGAGTTTGTAAGCCAAGAGGTTTTTTTTTTTTTTAATTAAAATGTAAAATACTAAAAGAAAACACTTTCATACATGCTTTCATTATAATAGTTTTATTCTCTCTAAATTTTTAGGTTTTGCAAATTCCAGATAAGTTTATCAAAGCTTAAGTTTTTCTTCTTTTTTTCCATCCTACTGTGCTGTTGCTCTAAGCATTTTTAAAAGCAACCTAAGCAGCATTTCACACTGGCTTTGGGGAGAGTTACTAGAAAAATAATATCTATCTCAAAAGCTGGTTTGGAGGCATAAGTAAGATAAATGTATGTCAAAAACTTCCTTTCATGGCAAGTAATGTTCTTTAGCCCTCTGAGACCTAGTGCCCCCTTTCTATAATAGATATTTATTTACCGTCCATAGCAAGCAGAATTATAAGATTCATAGCCCTGAGGTACACACCTTCCGTAATCTCCTACCCTATGGTATGGGCTGGATGAATGAATATAGTGAGATGTCAGGCCTATGATAAGGGATTACTAATCAATCGGATGCGAATTAATAAAAAAGAAGACAGTCTCAAGTCGGCCTGACCTTTAAAAGAAGGCCAACTATTAGATGCCCTTAAACAAACTGCTACACTGTTAGAGGGTCTGCCAGAGGAGCCACGTGGCGAGAATCTGCGAGATGCTTGTAAGCACTGAGAGCAGTCCTGGTCGTTTGTCAGCAAGGAAATGGGGACCCCAGTCCTGCAACCACAGCTGGGCTCCCCTGGTGGTTCGGATGGTAAAGAGTCTGCCTGCCATGCAGGAGACGTGGCTTCAATCCCTGGGTTGGGAAGATCCCCTGGAGGAGGGCAGGGCAACCCACTCCAGTGTTCTTGCCTGGAGAATCCCCATGGACAGAGCAGCCTGGGGAAGTGCAGTCCATGGGGTCACAAGGAGTCAGACCCCACTGAGCAAATAGGCAGAGTCCTACAACCAGAGGGAACTGAATTTTGCCAACAACCCAAGTGATCTTAGAATGGATCTTGTCCTCGGTGACTCTCTGGATGAGAGCACAGCCAGCAAACACCTTTCTTTATTTCAGTCTTTCGAGGTCCTGAGCAGAGGATCCAGCTGAAGGTGTGCTGGACCACTGCCCATGGAAACTGGAGTGAATAAATTTGTGTGGTGTTAAGCCAATAACTTTGTGTTTGTTATGCTGCAAGAGTACCCCCTTTTCCAACTTGAAATAAAATTCATAGATAACATAGTCTACTTACAATTTTAAAATTTCAGTGAAAGTTACTAACTATATTATTAGGAGAAGTAAAGGGAAGGTAATTTCAAAGAGGAGAATAATACGTATATTTAACCAAACACAATCACATTGGAAGACATAAAAGAACCAGATGTTTGCACTTGTACATAAAACCATCAAGAATGTCACAGGTACAAATGCAGACTGGCCTGGTGTTCAACACTGCTTGTGATTTTTCTAAAATAGTGAAAAATCCTGGTGAAATTATGTACAAAACAAAGTACATCCTTCTAGCCATTTGTACCTTAGTTACATCCCCCCAGATCTCAGTGTTTATTAAAACTTTGCAAAAAATGCAGTGTGATCAAGTTAGGTTGTATGCATGTAAACAGGGGCTTCCTTGGTGGCTCAGTGGTAAAGAACCTGCCGGCCAATGCAGGAGACTAGGGTTCGATCCCTGGGTGGGGAAGATCCCCTGAAGAAGGAAATGGCAACCCACTTCAGTATTCTTGCCTGGGAAATCCCATGGACAGAGGAACCTGGTGGGCTACAGTCCATGGGGTCACTAAAGAGTTGGACGCGACTTAGCAACTAAACAACAACTATAAACAAATTTCTCATTCACACGACTGTCCAGCGGGACATTTACAAACCATCCAGGATGCATAAAAATACTTCTTGTTTGGAACCGGAGCCTATCCAGTAAAAAAGCCAGGAGTTCTGTTCCTCCATCATGCATGCAGGCGAGCTCAGTCATGTCAGACTTTCTCATCGGCAGGAAGGTTCTTCACCACTGAGCCACCACGGAAGCCCTTCCTCCATCATAGATGAAATACCCAACTCCCTCGCGAATCTCCACACCGACTCTCAGGGGAGGTGCTGCTGCAGGCTGTGCTGTAGCTCCAAGTGCTATTATTATCTTGTGGTGCATCCACCCCCCACCCCATGCGCTCCCAGATTCTTTTGTGCTTGTCAGGCACATTGCTGAACATTGAAAAAACTTCGGGTACAGAATTTTTTTGCTTCTTTGGCAAAATGACAATGTTAAAATTAAAAATACACCCCCCACCCCCCACCAGTGGCGATGGCCAAGAAACAAGCCGCTGCAGCGGGCCCCTCGCCTGGCACGCGGGCAGCTCCCTGGGAGAGACGTGTGTGGAGGCAGAAGTGAGCCCCGTGAGGATGTGCCCGGAAGCAAGCATGCCGCCTGCCCTTGGATTTCAGCGAGTGCCAGGGTTGTTGGCCACAGGGTGTCTCTGACTAGCTCAAGACATGCAGGGCTTAGCTCGCAGGGGTCACCGGCGCTCATTTCTGCTGCCCTCATGGGTGCCATGGTGAAGTGCAGGGTGCTTCTCGGCCTAAAAGCAAAAGGCCCCGGGACAGAGCGCCGCCATCCAAGCAGAGGACCTGTGAACGTGACTGTCCCCACCCCCTGCAGGCGCTGCAGGTGCAGACGTTCCTCCCCTCAAGGAAGGGGCCAGAGCATCCAGGGAGGAAAATTCTCTGCTCCCCCAAGCACCGCAAAACAGCATCAACTGGATCTTTCCTTCTGTGAGAGACTGGAAGGAAGGATGCTAAAGGTCACCTGCCTCTGAGCCTCGCAGCCCAGCGACCGCAGTGCAGTGGCAGAGGGTTTCCTCCTGGGAATCCCGGTCGCAGAGGGCCTCCGCAGGGAGGCTGAGAATAGCAAAGCTCTCCAGCAAAAC